CTCCAGTAGGCGCCCTTACCATGACTTGACATAACTTAACTTAACTTAATAACTTAAGAGAGTTTTGTAGATATTCAGGAAACGTTGCATAAGTTACTGGATATCCTTCGACACATCCTTCCTAGAAAGCAGGAAATATTCAAAACATCTCCATACAAACGAAGATATAAGTAAAGTTCTCTGGACATTTTCCCAAGACTTCAGGTTGATCAAGTTCTGAGTATCTCCAACTGTTTAAACATTCAAATATTCTTACAATACTGTAGGTTGTCCAGGAAGTATTCAAAAGATTTCCATCTAATTCAATCTAATGCTAATGACTTTCGAAATCCGGTATCTTAAACACCTGATCAAATTAAATTAGGGGAAATGACGGCTTAGGCATCATAGACTATTTTCAGCAACACAAATTGAAACACTATTTTCACTGGATTTTCTTACGAAAACACTTCGCTGAATGCATGCAAACGATTCTTTATGCTTTCAGCTTCAATTTGACTATATTTTTACCACTGAGAAAAAGCAATCTAGCAGGGTTTTCTTGAAATGAAACACACGCACTACAAATTGTAGCTGATTTAGAGCTGCCGATAATAGAACACCAGATTTACATGCAGTTCAAATGGAACGGTTGCCGAAGAAAAACTGGTTGCCGACAATACTCGCTCTCACTAGAGAAGATTGGAGCTTTGTAAAAGCGTTTCAAAACAGTTTTTGACAATTCTTTCGACTGAAATTGTTAGAGCAGCTGGCAGCAAAAGATTGTAAACAAAGCAATACTGCATATGTGTGCGTTCCATAGAAAAAAAGGCTTTAGAAAGAAGGTCGCTGCTTAGGTTGCCGAGAATACGTAAATTCCCCTATAACCTGATTTTTCATAATTTTTGTCAAATGTCGAGATTTTTCTCAATTTTCAATTCTTATTTTTTTCTTACTTTCTTGTCTCAAAGAATTTCCTCTCGAAAAATGCGGCAAGTCTCAGAATCTTGGTTAATATCCCAAGATCTTGAATTACGAAATTTGAAGTCCAATAGCTTTAAAGCATGTCCAATAGACTGATGCAAAATTCGAAATTTTCACTCCACAGTGCTCAAACGGTTCCAAATTGGGCCCTGATTAGCCTCCCAAAATTGGAACTCATTTAGTAAAAAACTGACTTGGCACAAACCTTTTGAAGTTTATATGGGAATTACTAAGGAGAAACCATAATTTCGGTTCATATCTATCTCAAAAATCACCAGTTCACTCTACTTTAGAAAATGATAGCTGAGCTTGTAGAAAATTTTCTCAGCTACAACTTTGTTCAAGACCACCTTTCGATCAAATGTAAGGAACAAAAATTATAAATGATTCAAGTCACTGATGTCTTATGATTATGCTGAATCAACTGTTCAGCAGGCAACATTGGTGTTTATGGCGTGTAGAATAGAGGACAAACATCATGGCTACTATGTCACACTGCAGAATACAGTGTTGCCCACAGTACAGTTGCTTAATCTTGCCATAAGATTATCAATCTCTTAATCAATTTTTATGTTTATCTGGAATCTTAATCAATTAATAACTATTTCGTTTGAGGTTTGGCTGAAAAACGATTTTCTGCAAAGTTTTAGCTGATAAAAATTCCCATAAGAATAGCAATAGAATTTGTTAACAGTACAATATGTAAAAAGGCTAGAAGACAATGAACAAAAAAGTTTTGTTTTCCCATAGTAATTTCCATATAAACTTCAAATGGTTAGTGCCAAGTCAGTTTCTCAATAAATGAGTTCAAGTTTTGGGAGGCTAATCAGGGCCCATTTCGGGACTGTTTGAGCACTGTGGAGTGAAAATTTCGAATTTTGAACAGTCTAATGTCCAAGCCTATGGCTATCAAAACCTTTTTAATCCCAAAAAAATATTTTGAACAAAATTTCGTCGAATTGGTTTTTAAGGGATGGAGTGGAGTGGGCATGGAGTTTTTATGAAACTTTTGGTTAGGTTAAACATATTATAAGTATGAAAATTCTTATTTCATTTTTTTTCAATATTCATGTACTAGAGTGTTTTTGAAATGACTGTTCCTAGACTAGGATCATGCAATTTTATCTTATTTTTAGAATTATGGCAATTGAGCTAATTTCGTTGACTTTTATTTACATTTGTATTCGAAGAGTTTATGCTTTCAATCTGTATCAGAGATATCAAATTAGTTACAATTTTAGTTACAAAATCTTTAAAACATATGAATTTGGGATCTCAAAACAATTTTTATTTTAACATTCAGAATGTTAAGAATTGGGCATGAACATGTATCTTGAACATTTCCTAAGTCCTAAATGTATGAAATTTATTCTGTGGGCACTTTACCATGTTTCCGCCAGAATTGTATAACAGTATTAAATAAAAACTTCTAGTATTTAATTTTGGTTATTATGTCTGAGATTTAATTGATGATGAAATATTCCAAACCTAAAAAAAAAGCTAGTTACAGAATTCATGGAATGACCTAACTCCGAGAATTTTCTTAAGATTGATATGCTTATATTGATGAGATTCGGACGCTATGTGATTTCATTACAAAAAGCATGAACAAACGATCATTTTTTGTTCAAAATCAGTGAACTTTTGAGGCTCCTTTAATCGAGGTCCCAATCGTTGTCATGAAATAAATATCTTAAAATCAAAATAATAGTAAACCTCAATGTCATATTATTGGTCACAGAAAAAAAAATACACAAAAACAAGTTGCCTTAACGCAACTTAATTGAATAGCATCTTCGCGAGTTTATGTTTAACCGTAGTTTAGCAAAATAACAAAAAAAAAAATGCAACAGGCCCCCCTAGGCCTCCTCCAGAGAAATTTTCTAGCTACGCCAATGGCTGTAGCCAACCTCAATCGAAGTCAAACGTCATTTCTGACAGTGCTGATTCATTTTCGAGGGGCTCATGTATGTACAATTTAGATAGTTTCTAAAGGATTGTGATGATAATAAACAATCGGTGTATCCCTCAACCAATTTTCAGCTTGACAGCTCAGCCCAACTAACGAAAGCCTTTCACTAAGTGGGCTACGGGTTTAGCCCAACGAGTGAAAGTTGACTGTACTGGAATCCGCACTGGAGCACTGCGCAAAACTTATCCGAAAACTCCCCGTCCCTTTTCATTAAGCTGGGTTTAAACAGGGCAAGTCAATTGATCATGTCAGTTGAATTCAACTGACTTGAACGCGAATTGAATGTGTAAACCATGCCATTCAACTGACTTGATCAACTCACTTGAATTGAAAAAAAGTTGAACCAGGCTCAACTTTTCAAGCCAATTGAGTTCAACTGAGTTGATCATTTGACTTGTCTAGTCTAAACCCAGCTTAAAGCGAAATTAGACAGTAGCGCAACACGAGAAAAGGGCCTATCATTGTAGATCGATTCTCTTCATCGATTTTCTCTTTCGCGAATAACCGACTGCAAATGAATTTTCCATTGAGTGTGTTGTTTCAGGCGCAAGCTAACATAATCTTCTGTCGAACTGTGCTTAGCGAAAAATTCGTTTATGTAGCCTTGGTAAACCAAAGAGAAAGTCTATGAAGAGATTGATTGATTGATTTATCTTTATTAAGGAGGCTTTCAGCCTGAGGCTGGTTCGCCTCCACAATCGATGAAGAGAATCGATCAACGAGGAAAGGCCCTTTTCAAATGTTACGCGAGAGTTCTGCCGGCCGCTCGTTGCTATCTCTTTTATTCTTATGGCGAAAAGTGATGTTAGCTTTTGCGTGCTGTGTTCTATTAAATCAGCAATTGGGTGATCCTGCAGTACTGCAATGCAACGAATATCGGACGGACATTTCTAGATAGAGCTGGAATTAGGGCCAAACAGCTTTTGTAAACAATGACTTCTCTTGATGATTTCTAGAAATTTAAGGCTCACCCACGCAAACCAACATTCTCATCGGGTAGGGAAAGACTTCCCCTATCCGATGGTTAGGTTGATATGCGTGGACGTGTCTTGAATTCCTAGAAATCATCGATAGAAGTCATTGTTTACAAAAGCTGTTACGCCCTAACTCCTGCTCTATCTAGATTTAGTTTATTATTAAATATTACGTCTACTTTGCAACACCATAAATATGGGTGACTATTCAGAACGGCTCTCGGATTTTTCCTTCACATTTAGAAGAATCATCAGCTTTGGCATTGTCCAGAACAGAAGTGGAAGTTCGGATCAGAAAGTGGCTCCACTTTTCATTGGACATCACTAGCGCACCTAGGAGTAGAAGGCCCCTTCTGCGTGCAGTTAAGATGATAGTGTGAGTGAGCATAGAAAGCCCACGTGGAACACCTCCACTACGCATCTTTTGTTGAGCGATTTGTTTGTACTTTCCCTTCTGTTCTGTGAATCCATGTTTTGCTGTCAATGTCCACGAAGTCAGCAAAGCAAATAAACTGGCTGAGTTTATTAAAGGCTTCATTCTACGGCACAATCGTTCCTCGACTTAGTTTAAAAACGATCATGCTGAACTGTGGAACGGTGTTCTTCAATCGTATATCTTCATAACTGTTCAAGTAATTAGAGTTTGACACCCTAAAAAAACCTATACTATCAAATAATCTATTCGATTTACTCTAACCTATCTTTATTATTATCACATTCGGGCCATCCATTACATGGTAGAGAAAGAGGTGCGCACAACCCAAATCACTCGTTCGCATTCACTGCAAATCATTCTCCTTCGACATCCTCGTCTGCAGCAAACCTCGGCAGATAAGCAGCCCAATCAGCCCCAACGGAATTATCAGCACCAAGATAAGGCTCACCACAAGGCCTCCCGTCCGAGCACCGTACTCCTGTTCACCTGTTGGTTGAAAAAAAAAAATGGTATGCGAAAAATGGGTACAACACATCTAGTTAATATTTGCGCTCCACCTTTTTGGAAGACCAACGGGCATTGTCGACGCTGTTGCACAAAAATGCTGGCCCTGGTTTAAAGAAAAAGAAGAAGGAAAATTCATGACGGCGCGGAATTACATTGAACTATCTTCTTTATTGATTTCACCATTGTTGCTTATCATTAAATACACACACTTATTGGTGGACTTATCGCTAAAGAAAAAAAAAAAAGGCTGACTGACTGTTATCTAGTTTGTGCGGGCCTTATGGCAAAGAAGTAGGATTTTGTAAAAATAAACGATGACTTCAATCGTGATGTCGCGTTAAAATACCTGACTTTGTCGGATGGTTGGGTTTTTTGTTTTAAGGGGTGGGAAGAGTTTGAGGTTTGAGGTTCTAGACCTCGGTTGACCGGCTGTCCATTCTTTGGGGCAGACCGACATTTTGGTTGAGCGGTTGATTGGGCTGTTCGGCACCACCACTGAAGAACGTTCCGGTGGTGGAAGGAGGCTGCTGTTGGTAGCCTTCCGGTCTTCTCTGGTTGACCGGCGAGTTTTCTTCGGTGGCGAAGCTGCTGTTGCGATCGATGCCGCTGAAGGTAGGGCTGTATGCTCCGTAGGCTTGCGTTGGCGATTCGATCGGTGGTGGTGGGTAGGTGTCTCCGCTGAACATGGATGGTCCGGCACCAACGTCGTCCTCCGGTCCCGAAGTCAGCCGGCGACGACCTAGTTGTTTATGATCAGCCATGTTCTTATATTGGAAATCATTGACAACTTTATCTCTATATTCACCTCCTTCCGAGGATGTAATGTCTTCTTCATCCAGGTCCATCTTTTTCGGCTCGAACTGAATGTCCGGTTTGCCAGCCAGTGGTTCATGAGTGTCGTACGTTGCGTCGTACCGGCGCACCTTCTTGATCGTATGGTCATCGTATTCGCTTCCGTCGCTAGCCAGATTGCGAAGCGTGGTTCGCGAACCGGAACGAGACGGAATTGGCATACGCCAGTCCGGGTCATCCTTTAGCTTGCGCTTCCGGAAGCAATAGACGCCGCAAACGATACACATGATTAGGGGCAACATTACAGCGAGGACAATGCCAATGGTAATCCAAGCGGTTCGACGGCTATAGAACACAGCGCCTAGATGAGCGAAGAAATCTCTCGTTAGTAGACGCGTGGGGGCTTGACAAGCTTTTGAAGGGATTTGCAATGCAATACTTACGTAGACATTCGGTGAATCCATACTCCGGTACGTCCCATAGACCATTATCACGACAAATCCGCCTGGAGTCCCCGATCAGAACAAATCCTTCGTTACACTCAAAGGAAACGCGAGCCCCTGGGGTGAACATGAAGCTGGACTTCCGCCCGAAGCGGGGAGTTTCCAGAATACCACAGGATATGGTCCGCCTGGAAATTTAAACGTTGATTAACTGAACTGCCTGTAGAATTTTGCTCGCTAACTCACTCATTATTCATACTCTGTATGTTGATCGCACTGGCATGGTAGTTTTTGGTAAAGTGCGCCATCTCCCGGTTCAGCGTCATTCCGAAATCGTACCGACATTGGTAACTTTCACCGCACAACTCCTTCGCTCGTTCTACATCGTGCGTTCGATTGGGCGGTAAGAATTGACCCGGTTCCGGACGGAACTCCGGCGTGAACAATGTATTCGAATAGTAACTGGACGTCCTACCAAACTCTCTGGTAAACAGCGCTCTGCCTATACCCTCTATCTCTCGGTCCGACAACATCCCTGTGGAAGTAGAACGAGTGTTACGCTATGATCGACAATCCAAACACACTAAATATAATGAATCTTACAATGCATTGCAAAATTGTTGTGAATGTCTCCGAAGTGGTTCAGATTAGGTGCTATAACAACGCCATCAGGTCGTATCAAATCATCCTGCATGTCCCAACTCCAATTGCCGAACAGACCTCTCGTTTTATTCTAAAAAAAACAATCTCCAATCAATACAATCTTTCCAAATCCACTTCACCCGTTGTTGCCCGTACTATAAAACTCCACGGCGTGTAGACCCGCGCCGTCATGAAGCCATTGTTCTCGACGACTTCCACCCCAACTCCGGACGAGAACATGATGACCACTTCCGATTGATTCAGGATGTACGTCGGCGTATAGACCGTAACTCCGTGGAAGTGCTGGAACTTCAAACTCTGTCGATCGAAAAAGATCCTCCGTTCGTCGGCAAACACATCCAACCGGTAGCGCCACTGGGCATCCCGGGGACGTAGACGCACTTCGATGACCGTCGAAGTGTTACCACGTGCAGCAATCGACGTCAGCTGAGTTGCCATAACCTGTCCGTGGATGTTACGAGCTACCTGCTCAAATCGGCCCTGAACGTCGATGCGTTCCTCTCCATTGTTACCTCGCAGCAGCACGAATTCACCCATTCCGTTGAACGTGTACTGCAGTCCATCGAAGGTGACAATATGCGGATCTCCGAAGACTGCGCCAACTGCCGGCGATTGGTAGGCAATGCAGTCCTGAGAAGGCCGTCGTTCGAAACGGAACGTTTCACAGCCAACAGCTTGTTCATCCTGCCACATGCAGCACGAATAGTACGGACGAACATCGTGGAACCAGGTGGACAGAGTCGGAACCTTGTTAGCTTCGTTCCAGGGCATCTGACCGATGTTGTGATTTCTGCGTGGCCTCGATCCCCACATTTGATCGTACGATAGCATTAGGTATCCGTTGCGGTCATAGCAGCACTGCTGTTCGGAACCCTGAGACGATGGTTGACCGGATCGTACACAATGGATGGCTCCTCGGTGGTGCAGACAAGTTGGATTGGTGTCCCGATCGCAGTCCGGATCCGGCAGGAAACGTCCCTTGTCGTATATGGCGTGTTCCAGCACGCACGGACACAGCGGAAGTTCGTGGGCGAAATTTCTGAGAAAACGGTCCGTCAAGAGCCAGTTGTCGCACAAGGCTCGTGGCCAGTTTCGTCCGTGGATTCGTTCCCATTGTGGACCAAAGTACCAACCCAAGGGAATCGGTTTGGACCATAAAATTCTGTGGAAGGAAAGAGGGAGCGTTAGAATACAGCGCTGGAGGTCGTTGGTTGTAGCAGGACGACTCACGGAGAAACGCTTAGTCCGTTGAACTGCTGTGGATTTGTAAGGTTGATTTGGATGAACCCGAATTGCATATCCACATTGCGTGGGTTGTCTCTCAGCCGGAAGTTGGCCGGAGCAATCGTGTACACTCCCGTATTGGTTAGCTGAGGTTCGATCATGTCGATGTATTCCAGTTCCGGGCTAGTGAAAAAAAAAACGTTTGTTAAGTCGGGAACCTTAGTACGGCCGTTTCGCCTAGCTTACCGAATTGTTGCTTCCCGGTAGCCCCACAGCGAGATCTGAACGTTCGCATTCAAGTTCGTCGTCAAATTGTACCGATTCCAGGTGATTCGAATCTCCGACGGATTCCTACGGTGAACGTCGTCCGACTCGAAGAAGATCCGATCCGTAGCCGTAGCCGGAGTTTCCACGAAGTAGCGTCCTCTCCACTTGAATCGCTCCGTACCGATGGAGATTTCGAACCGAATGTAGCCTTGCGCCTTCAGGAACGGCTGCACGCAGATGGCACGATTCGTATCGACGACCGTTCCGATAACCTCCTCCGTATCGAACCGACATGCTATGCGGGTGGCGTTCGACAGGAAGCACGGTCCGGTGATGTTGACGACCGTTCCACCCAGCATATTTCCGGACTCCGGAGCGAACACCAACGGTAGATGCGCCGCGTCGATATCTTTGTTGCACGTTCCAAGCATGATCCGTTCGTCGATTCGGAAGATGTGCCGTCCGGGGAATCCGTTCGCCCAACCACGTCCCGTCAAGTCTCGCAGTACCGAGGCCTGACTGTACGGTTTGTACTCGTAGGCCTGTGTTCCGTTTCCTGCGTTGAAACCGATCTGTTGGGAGGTGAAAACTTAAATCATTGAAGTTATTGAGCGAATTAAAGAACCTACATAAGCGGGGACACCTCCTTCTCCTCCGGTAGTGTCACCACCGGCTTCCGTATGCGACGACCAATTGATGATGGCATAGTTGAAAATGGCATACGTGTAGACTTCATCAGTTGCCAGGATCATCTGGAAGGTGTTCGTCTGCAATGGTGGAATAATTTTCATCAGTGATCAGTGATTCCAAAAATCCGAACCGTTTCCCCAAGCATACCTTAAATAGTGAGTTATCGATGCCGCCGGCAAAACTCATGTTTTTCCACGTCGTGATGATGGCGTGCTTCGGCACGAACGTATCCGATCCAACCACTCCCTCGCGGATGTCCCACATGACGCGTTCACGCATTTCCACGCCGGGTCGGTCGGTTCTCGTTTCCAGATCACGCTCCATTCGGAAGTACACTCCGGGCGATCGCTGATCGACGTCCGTATCGTAGATCCGACCGATCCGGCACCTGGAGAAGAAGATTCCAATGAACGACGGATCGTTTCGCCGGGGCCAATCCTTGATCGGGAAGGACAGCGGATAGGTGTAGTGCTCGGGCGGGTCGGAGAACTCCAGGAATCCGTTCATCGATACGCGGGTGTAGTTGAAGCGAAAGCCGAAGAACGGCAGCTGGAAGTTGAAGTTCTTGTGCACCTGGGGCATCGAGGCGTGGATGTCCCGCTGGTAGTCGCCGATGTCCTCCGGGCCACCCTGGCTGTAGAATGGGTACAGGAAGTTACGACGGATCTGGGCCAATCGTGCCGGGGTGATGGTGTAGGCTGAGCCATCTTTCTGGAAGTTGGGTGGATCCTTCGGTTGAACCGGGTTGTTGAGATCTGCCGAATGGGGAGTAGTGAGTAATGCGGTTAGATAGTGCTGTTGACGAATAGTCATCGTTACTATTTCTGCGAAAATTATCAGTGGGTGACTGATAACAGGGTGAGTAACCGGGCGGAAGTGTGTGAGTCATGGCTTAGCGTTCGTAGAGATTATTTGATTGCTGGGCCTGTGCGAGATATGCTTCGGAACTTTGGTGGGATTATAATTTCACATGAGTTTTCGTGGGAAATATGCATTGTATGAGTGGGTGTGTATTTATAATTATTTGTGTAGGTACAGGGAATACCAGATCGTGTTTCCTGGAGCAGCAGATTGAACATTCGAAAATTTGTCATGCTTCTGTGAGGAAGAGCTTAATTTTATGGAAACTTAAGGCAGCTTGAACCTTCAGGGATCTAGCCTTTCGCTGCCCAACTAACATTGCATGATTTATCGAGGTTGTAAAGCATTCTACAAGTCTACAGAACCCTTATAAAACCACAATTGTTACTTGGGTGGATCCCTCCTTAACATCCTCTACCGATATAAATTTATTCAACATCGTGAAGGCTGTGGAGTAGATCCTACATACTTTGACGATAAGCTTAGAGAATTTCAGAACAGGTAAAAGTATAAAAGTCGTCAGAATTACACAACATTTATTAGCGATTTGATTAAACCTTATTAACCTGTGAACAATCTGGAAGACAAGGAAAGATTCAGTTATTTTCGGGAGAAGGTACAAAGACATCAAATCACCAACAAGACCGAACAAGTTCTGAGATCGTTGCAGTTTATTTAGGAATTCTTTTCGGAAGGAAGACATTCTAAATTCGTTCAAAGTGGTCTTATGAAGCTTCGGAACAGGGCCGCATAAAATCGATGCAACGAAGAGACAGTTAGCTTTCTTTTTCTGTTGAAGTCGAGCAGCATTGCATCATTCTAGCACCTCAGTCGGTGTTTGCAAACACATTTTCGATCGTTTGAATGCCTTCCTCCCGTCGCTTCATTCATGTTTCTTTGTAGCTTCGCCCTAATAAAAAATTACCACACACGAACGATAACCCAAATGATTGAACTATTCCACACATGGTTTGGATGATACCCCGAACACGTCGTTAAGCAAATTAACCATAACATTTTAATTAGGGCGGTGAAGCGGACGAGTGAAAAAGCGCTCGACTTTGACCTGTTCGCCTTTTACGAAGAACATCAACCGAGGGAACATGCCGTATATTACCTGAAGATTACACGTAATATGTTTAATTTATCTTCCATTCATATTTTTATTTATAAAAAAAAAATTAAAACGGGACATTAAACATATTAAACAAATTGAAAGGGTAGGTGACAGAGTATCGGTGAAAGGAATTGATAGCCAAAATGACGCTTCGTTTCAACTCGAGAAGCGACGTTACTTTCATTGAAAGGGGTGAGCAAAGCAGAGACCGAAAATTCCACAGCCTGCCTTTCGTTCTGTTTCTATTTCATTTTGGCTTCGCGCTGATAGGCTAGCTAGGTGTTATAGGAATGATATTTCTGCATTCACATCTCCAATATTATTGTCAATAACTCCCCTTCGCGTCAATATATTGATACATGAAAGTAAGCAACACTCTAGCTCGGTTACATCAAGCTATCCCTGTGGAATTTGTACAGTACATCTATCAGAGCACTTATTATCAACCTGCTCAAATTATCAGCAATATAGACGTTTCATGGCCTAGCTTGCAATCTAAGAGACGCTTCTTGTAACGAGCCAAATAGAGAGGAGGCTCTACTGACTTTCGTGAAGGATTCCGGAATCTACAATCAAATTTGATGGACATCATGCTACAATGACACGTTTTAATCAAGGCACATAATTGCTGACCCACGCAATGAACCTAGACAATGAACAAAACATAAATTAATCACGACGAAAACACCGGACGACGACTAATGAACTATCAAAACATGAGATTTTGTTAATTTATTACTTTGTTATAATGTTATAACAAACACTAGGAGGGTCACTCATTTGAAGCCCTCTTCTCTTTTGAAAAGGTGAACTAGCCTCTGGCTGAAAGCCTCTATTATAAGAAAAACAAATACACTCTAGCTTATTTTAGAGCTTCGAAAATGTAGAGCCCTGCTTCGGAGCCCAGTCCGGATGACTACAAAGTACATTTAGCGAGAATGTGCTTTGTCGTAGCCCATTTCCGTTCTATCGAGCAAAAATCATCAATAATATCCATGATTTCACCGAACACAAATCAATAATACGTTTGTTTCGATGCGTTAGCTCATGTAGGGGAAAGTAGGTAAAGATGGACACTAACCGTAATTCGTAAATAAAAGTTTCATGTAATGTTTCAGTGACGGAACAACTTTTGATATAGTGTAGCAATACTTTTGGGACTCACTGTTGATATCGAAGACGCTAACTGTCAAAATTATAAACAAAACAAATATTTTCTTCGTGGATACGCTAGTGGAAGTAATTTTGCGTCGACGGACTATTGCTTCTAAGTCATAACGGTATTGTGTTTCTGCGTTCTTTCTACGATAACCAGTTATCCTGGTCATCGACCACACATCTGGTAAAGAAACGGTAATTTTTTGGATATTTAGTCAAGAGCTATGGACGTTTTAAAAATAGTGATAAAGTTGGGAAAGATGGACACTCTAAGATTTGGGAAAGACGGACATAAAGGTGCTGAATGAATCTTGATTGTTTTACTTATTTCGATTAACAGATGCCTACGAAATATGTTCGCAAGAGCAACCGGAAGTCGTGGACCAACCAGCAGTTGGATCAGGCTGTAAAAGCAGTGAAAAACGGGACGTCCGTGAAATCAGCAGCTATGAATAATGCTATTCCACGGACTACACTGATGAGGCACCTCGCGAGTCCCAATCTCTCTCCACGGCTAAGACCACTTGCTACCGTGTTCAATCAACAACAGGAAGAGGTACTGGTACAGCATCTCCTGGACTTGGAGAAAAGATTCTACGGGATTACGATAACCGATGTTAGAAAACTGGCTTTTGATTTGGCAGAAATGAACGGATTGCAGCACCCATTCAACAAGTCTACCAAGCTTGCTGGAAAAGCCTGGTTAAGCAATTTTCTTAAACGAAATCCCTGACACTACCTGGAGGTTCGGATTTTGACCCCTCCCTTTTCCTCTCCCAGGAACAGAAGAAAATGGAACAACATACGCCCTCCAGCTATTGTCAAAAAGCACAGTGAAGGATACATTTATTCATACAAACAGGCCGCCATTACCGAGCATGGAAAGCTGGAAATAGATTTTAAGCGAAAGCCCATCTCATGCTAACCGTCTATTCACCGTAAAGGTACAACTCAAAGAGCGTCCGATCGGCATTCAGTGATTGAAGTATTTGAATCTAATTTCCGTCTTACTAAGCATAATCCACACTTAACCTCTCTTTTTCGAACGGATATGAACTCTAAAATGGAGTGATTCTACTATAGATGTCTTCCAGATTTATTTACCTTTCTATACGTACCGTTGGATTTGATAAAGAGTCACAAATTATTGAGATATCGTAAGAAATCTAAGACTGCTTCTTGATTGAAAATTCATTCTACGAGTTTCAATTCCGTTCTAACGCATTGGTTTTTCTAGATTTTTCTTCGTTCTATGAATGAAGACAGAAAAAATGGATTTGCTAGCAGTGCTTTTGTTTTGTTTTGAGAACAATGAGTTTAAATATTCATACATGAGCTAACGCATCGAAACAAACGTATTATTGATTTGTGTTCGGTGAAATCATGGATATTATTGATGATTTTTGCTCGATAGAACGGAAATGGGCTACGACAAAGTAGCACTCTACCCTAACAGAATTTTTTGAAAATTTGCTAGAAGAGCGCTTACAATCAGAAGCCGGGTACGGATGTCTTTGACGGAGAATTCAAAGTCCTGCGGGCAAATAGTGAGAGCGGTCGAAGCAGATTTTTTTTGGCTGCGTACTGAAAATTTCAGGTTTTCTCAAATACGCCAAAATCGGGGTATTAAAGAATCTAGACGAGATCACGCTGGTAGACGAGCTGATGCGCTGTGAGCTGGAAGATGTACCAATGACAATCCGGCTGATGAAGGCGTCCGCAGCTAACAAACTGGTGGAGGCTGATAAAGTTAAGACTGGGTGGTCAGAGTGCTCGCTGAAGGTAACCTATCAACTGGAGAGATGTTTTAGACCATTGGCTTCCGACACCAGACGGGAAACTGCAGGGACCAAGTCAGATCTGTGTAGAAGATGTGGTGAGAATGGAAACAACCACATTGTGGATGGCTTCAAACTTACAGAAAAGCTCATCGGACAGAGACCGGTCGTTATTAAAGGCTTACGCCCCTCGCGCGCCTCTAGTGTAGGGAATCGAGAATCTTTGACAGTAGTTTGTTTACACTTCTATAGAGAACAACTGGTGCAAGTTTAATCAAAGTAGTCGTTCACGTTCAGAAATAATGTCAAATGGAACTCGAAAGAAGAAAAAATATGGTGCACAAACTCCTGGAAATTCCAGAGTGGTCCAGTTCCAAGCTGGCTAAAGTGCTGAAGATGCCGAAAACAACAGTTTGTCGAGTGCTCAAAACCTACGAGGAAATCCTGGGTGTGGAAAGGAATCAGCGAACCTACGAAAAAACTAGAACCAGGGATCGTCAGCTGCGCAGCAAAGTGTTGAGGTGCGTTAAAGCCAACCCCGGTCTTTCGATCCGAGATGTGGCCAGAAGGTACAACGCCAACTTTCAAACGGTGCGGAACATCCTTGCCAGGGAAGGATACAAGTCGTACAAAGCCAGTAAACATCCGAACCGGCACATGAAGCAGAATTCCGTGCACAAAAACCGTGCAAGGCTCTTGTACGACCGTGTTTTGACGAAACACAAGGGCTATACTTTGATCGATGTCGAAACATACGTCAAACTCGATTTTAAGCAGCTTCCCGGTCAAAAGTTTTACATCGCGACTGGACGTGGGGATGTGCCGGGAAGGTTTAAGTTCG